CTTCATGCAAAAGGTCTCTTGTAAGGTATCATTACAAAGCTTATAATCTCCTGAGTGTGGTCATCCTATTTGTATGTACGTATCATTCTTGTGTCTGAAACTAGGAATATGAAGTTAACTCTGAGTCCTATTGTAATTATGCAAAGTGGGGGCCATTAATGGTGGCTTGGAAGCTTGATGGCTCCCATTGATCAGGACAATTGGTTGTAAATGGCTCTGTTTGCTTGTAAGCCATCCTGTGAGTCAGGCTGGGAAGAATGGAGGGGGGGGGGTGTCTCACAGGACATGTGACCATGTCACCTGGGACTGGAATCCATCTTAAACCTGGGGCTTTTCCATTGAGAAGGAGGGGTGGGGACCCAGAGAGACAAAAGATTCCTGCCTTGTGCCAAAGCTATATAATGGGGTGGAACAGAACAAAGGGGGCTGCAGTCATGAGAAATCCCCTAATTACCACCTGAGCTGGAACTAACAAGGACTGTACCAGGGGAAAGGATTGGGCCCAGACTAGGAAGGAGTCTAGCCTGTGAAAGAAGCTTATTGGAACATCTCTGAGGGTGAGATTTACCTGTATTCAGTTTCTTAATGTATTAGGCTTAGACTTGCGTGTTTTGTTTTATTTTGCTTGGTGACTTACTTTGTTCTGTCTGTTATTACTTGGAACCACTTAAATCCTACTTTTTACACTTAATAAAATCACTTTTGTTTATTATTGAACCCAGAGTAAGTGATTAATACCTGGGGGAGCAAACAGCTGTGCGTATCTCTCTATCAGTGTTATAGAGGGCGGTCAACTTATGAGTTTACCCTGTGTACGCTTTATTCAAAGTAAAATGGATTTATTTGGGGTTTGGATCCCATTGGGAGCTGGGTGTCTGGGTGCTGGAGATAGTTGACCTGCTGAGCAGTTTTGGGTTAAAGTCTGGAGCTTTGGGGGCGTGGGTCAGACCCTGGGTCTGTGTTGCAGCAGGCTGGCGTGTCTGGCTCCACCAGGCAGGGTTCTGGAGTCCCAAGCTGGCAGGGAAAACAAGCTCAGAGGTAATTCCAGCACATCAGGTGACAGTCCCAAGGGGGTCTCTGTGACTGAACCTGTCACACCCGTCACACTGCACGTCAGGTTCCTCTGCCAACGTGCCCCCTGCCACCGATCACGGCTCCTCCAGTGGGGGAGCTGGCGAAGGAGCTAGAGCGGCATCGTTCGCACGGTAACTATTCCGGGCCCAGGGGCTCCCAGCGCAGCCAGGCCATGCGGGCGCTCCCCAGGGATGGCTTCGGCACTCAATTTCCCCACAACAGGGCCTGAAAACAGCAATAGGGGGTCAGACTCCTGTCGCTTGCCCCCTCCACCTGGAAACCGGAGCCACTGACACCCGCTGCGACGAGGGGCCGGAGGGTCAGTTATGGGGCGGTAGCAGAGGATGGGGCTGGGAACATCTGCAGTGATCCGCGGAGATGAGCAAATAACTGAACTTTCTGTTTGGTGGCTGAGCTGGAAAATCTGGACAGAAAAATTGTTCGCGGCCGACGCGAAATGACAATTATTGGTTTTATCCTTGGAAAAACAAAAAAAAAACCCAAATATGTGAATGTGGGTCAAACGAAACGTTTCGTTTTCTGGGGTTTTCGTCCCTCTTCTCTGTGCAGCTCGTTTTTATAGGACAGCTCCAATGTCCCGGGAAAAGTCAACATTTGTCCTCCGGCCAACAGGATTCGCTGCATTTGCCCCGAATTAGCGCCTAGTTCGACCAAGAAATGCAGATTGTGGCAAATAAACGGTTCCTCCCGGCCCCTCCCCCCGCTGCAGGGCTGAGGTTCGCGGAGCGGCGCTGGAAAGCTGGGGGCTGCGCACGTTTGAACGACTCCCTCGCCGGACGTTCCTCGCTAAGAACAGCCCGTGTTTCCGCCCCATGCGGGTGTCTGGGCGCCTGGCGAGCTGGGCACAAACCATCGCGCACACAGACGCATGCCCCCAGCCCTGGTCGGCAGGAACGCGTGGGCTCTTCTCAGTCACACACGTAGGGGAGAGGGAACCCCTGTGATCGGAAAAGGACTGGGGGGGGGGTAATATTACAGCATCGCTTGCACAGCTTGGCAGCTGCAGATCTCAAAGCACTTTACCCAGGAGGCGGACGCTTTCCTCTGCCAAGGAAAGGGGGGTTTCCTGGGCCCTGAAGGAGACGAACCAGAAGTTCTGAGCGGGCTTTGCCGACCCCTACAAGGGGGACAGTAGAGACAGCAAAGGCTGCAACTATTGTGTATAATTATCTCGGTTACAGCAGCGCATGCAGGTTCCACCAGAGATCAGGGCCCCGTCGTGCCAGGCGCTGCGCAGACCCCGGCCGAGGTGTGGTGCCAGAAGTGATAGATAGATCAACAGAGGATCAAGTTGTGCTTCCCCACCATGGGGCCTGTGGGGACTTGGCACTTTGCAAACTGCTAGGATTGTTACCCCCACTGTACAGGATGGGGAAACTGAGGCACAGTGACGGGACGGGACTTGTGCATGAACCAGGGCTCCCAGCCTTCCTACCTCCCACCGGCTCTAACCCACTAGGCCCTACTCTCCTCCCTGAGTCAGAAATAGAACCCAGGAGTCCTGGCTCCCAGCCCCCCCGCCCCACTCTAACCACTAGACCCCACTCCCCTCCCCGAGCTGGGGACCGAACTCGCTCTTGGAGCGGGTCTGTGAGAACAGCCCATCCAGGTTTTGCCAGTGTTCCCCCCCACCCCGGGAATTGTTCCGCTGGTTATTTCCTCTGACCGCTAAAAACGCACGTCTCATTTCCAGCCTGGATGTGTCCAGCTTCAGCGTCCAGCCAGCGGCTCGTCCGACCTCCCTCTGCGAGCCCGACGAACCCGGGGCGCCAGGACACGTGTGTTCCCCTGTGGGCAGCGACAGGCTGGGATCAAGTCACCCCTGAACCGTCTGTGCTCAGCTAAGCAGCCGGAGCTCCTGCCGCCTGTCGCTCCCAGGAGCTTTCGAACCCGGCGGTCGTTCTCCTGGCTCTTCTCTGACCCCCCAATCCACCAGCGGGCCCCAGAACCGGCCCCAGGCTCCCAGCAGCGTCGCACCAGGGCCAAACACGGGGGAAATCACCTCTCTGCTCCTGCGGGAGATTCCCCTGTTCCGGGGCCTCGTGCTGGGCGTTTCTGGGGGGAAACCCCCCCCCATCCCGATGCCCCAGCTCCCTCCACGGGGCTCGGGGGAGCAGCAGACTGAGGGAGGGAGGGGCGCGGGGGCAGCTGTGCCAGGGAGACGTGTCAGGGGCTCTCTTCTGCTTCTAGCTGCGCACCCCCCTTTGCCCCTGGGGGGCTAGAAATACAGCCCCCCCACTCTCCAGCGAATAACAGACCAGCCTCAAGGAGCAACGGGGCCACTTCCCCTTGCTGATGGCTTCCTCCCCCCGGTGACGCCCCAGCTGGAGGGGAAGGGGCGCCTGGGCACTGGCACAAGGACGGGCTGAGCTCCCCTCCCTCCCCCACCAGTGCCTCTGTCAGGAGAATGAGAGCGCTCGGCGTGTCCACCCTCGGGGGAAGTAACAGCACCAGCTCTCCGGGCCGGGTCAGCGGGCAGACCGGATCCCCCACCCCTGGGGGCCTGATGGCTCCCAGCACGGCTAAGGAGGGGGTCCAGAGCCCTGCGTGGTTAAGAGGAGGGGGTCTCCCCGGTGGGCTGGGGGAAGGGTCCTGGGTCCTCCGCCCCATGTGGTGGTTGCTGACGCGCAGACCCAGGCTCTCAGCAGGGCAAGATCGGTCCCCCTGCACCTCCGCTGTGCAGATTGGCGGTGACAGGCGCTCGGTGGCGGTGGGTTAAAGCGCCCAGGGGGCCGGAGCAGGCGGGGGGGAGGGGGCGTTTGTCAAACCCCGCGATGGAACTGGGAAGACGCACGGGGAGGCACAAAGGGCATCGCGCCAACTCCCAGGCTGCTTGGCTCCGGCCACTGCAACCCACGCTCAGCTGCTGCCCCACTCCCAAATCGCCCCCCATCCTGTGCACAGATAGGTCCTGCGCGGTCCCCGTGCTGCAAGGACCCCACCGAAGACAGCAGAGCTGCACGGCGCTGGGGAGAGAGGAGCTTGGGGTCAAAACACCAGCTGGGATTCTAGACCCCCAGCTCTGCCCCAGGCCCCCCGGGGGGCAGCGGGCAAGTCCCTGCGTCTCTCTGGGGCTCAGCTGCCCAATCTGTAAGATGGGGACAGCGATCCTTTCATCTGCTCAGACCGGGAGCTCCTGGGAGCAGGCACTGGGTCTCACTCTGGGTCTGGGCAGCACACGCGGGGCCCTGATCTCGGTCGGGGTCTGGGCAGCGCCCAGGGCTGCTTAAGGTGTTTTGGCCACTTTCTGCCACCTTTACTCCCGGGGACAGATGCTGGTTTCCCATGCGCCTGTTCTCCACTCCCCAGTCTATTCAGTGTCCCCAGCCCGGCAGCTCTTGGGGGGCAGGTTTCTTTTCCCCCTTGGTCTCCCGGTAAAGGTCCTGGTGAGATGAGTGTGACGGGTTTGGTCACAGAGACGCCCCTTGGGACTGTTGGAATTACAACTGAGCCTGTTTTCCCTGCCAGCTTGGGACGCCAGAACCCTGCCTGGTTGAGCCAGACACGCCAGCCTGCTGCAACACAGACCCAGGTCTGGTCCACGCCCCCAAAGCTCCAGACTTTAACCCAAAACTGCTCAGCAGGTCACCTATCTCCAGCACCCAGACACCCAGTTCCCAATGGGATCCAAACCCCAGATAAATCCATTTTACTCTGTATAAAGCTTATACAGGGTAAACTCATAAATTGTCCGCCCTCTATAACACTGATAGCGAGATATGCACAGCTGTTTGCTCCCCCAGGTATTAATCACTTACTCTGGGTTAATTAATAAATAAAAGTGATTTTATTAAGTATAAAAAGTAGGATTTGTGGTTCCAAGTAATAACAGACAGAACAAAGTAAGTCACCAAGCAAAATAAAACAAAACACGCAAGTCTAAGCCTAATACATTAAGAAACTGAATACAGGTAACTCTCACCCTCAGAGATGTTCCAATAAGCTTCTTTCACAGGCTAGACTCCTTCCTAGTCTGGGCCTAATCCTTTCCCCAGTACAGTCCTTGTTAGCTCCAGCTCAGGTGGTAACTAGGGGGTTTCTCATGACTGCAGCCCCCTTTGTTCTGTTCCACCCCCTTTTATAGCTTTGGCACAAGGCGGGAATCTTTTGTCTCTCTGGGTCCCCACCCCTCCTTCTCAATGGAAAAGCCCCAGGTTAAAGATGGATTCCAGTCCCAGGTGACAAGTATCAGGGGGTAGCCCTGTTAGTCTGTAACAAAAACAATGAGGAGTCCGGTGACACCTTAAAGAGTAACAAATGTATTTGGGCATAAGCTTTCCTGGGTAAAAAAGCGTATGCCCAAATAAATGTTAGTCTTTAAGGTGCCACTGTACCAGGTGACATGATCACATGTCCCCGGCCTCCATTCTTCCCAGCCTGACTCACAGGACGGCTTACAAGCCAACAGAGCCATTTACAACCAATTGTCCTGATCAATGGGAGCCATCAAGCTTCCAAACCCCCATTAATGGCCCACACTTTGCATAATTACAATAGGACTCAGAGTTAACTTCATATTCCTAGTTTCAGACACAAGAGTGGTACATTTATACAACTAGGATGACCACACTCAGTAGATTGAAAGCTTTGTAATGGTACCTTACAAGGGACCTTTTGCATGAAGCATATTCCAGTTACATCATATTCACCCTCATTAGCATATTTCCATCAAACATTATGGGGTGCAACGTCACCCCGAGATGAGACTGAGACCCCAGGGTCAATCCCGCCAGGCTCCGCTAGAGACCAGGGCGGGAGCAGAGCGGGGGCGGAACCGCTGCTGGGGGCTCTTCGAGCGCGGACCCAGCTGGGCCAGTGCCTGGCAGGGAGCTGGGTAAACGGGCTCATCCCCGTGTTCCCAGCCAGGCACGGATTGCGATCGCCTTGGCCGCAGGGGCCTCGTGCCTAGCGCAAGCCAGAGCCCCACACCCCAGAGCCCGGCCTGCAGCCCAGAACTTCGGCTGCGCTGGAGCAGATCCTGGGAACGGAGACGTACCCGGTGAGTCCTTCCAAGGGCCAAGCCCCTCCTTGGCAGCTCTGCACATCATTTCTAGCCTGAGCTCGTCTTGCTCTAGCGTCCGGCTGCTGCCCTCGCCGGCTCCAAGCCCGGAGTTCATACCCAGGCTGGGCCACGGGCCCTGCAGCGTCCAACGCAGCGCAAGCAGGGAGCGCTGCCCCGAACCGGCTCGCTCAGCTCGCTCTCTCGCCGTCCCAGGTGCTCCCATACCCAGAGCCGGAGGAGCAGAGCCCCGGCAAGGTGGCTGTGCCGCTGGTACCGTTATCCACAGGGGCCGGTCACACCGAGTCTGCGGCAGCGGGCGGGACGGCGCCAGCTCCCCCGGGCGAGTTCCCCGCGCTGGAAAGGAGCCTGGCTGGCCTGAGAGCAGCACGTGAACCTGCCCAAGGAGCCGGCAGCATCGTGGGTCTTTCCGTCTCCCTCGGAAGGGTCACCGGGGTGGATGGGCCGATCCTCACCCGCCCCCTGGTCCGGTGCCGGGGCACGGCCCCACAGGGCGGGATCCTGGGACCGTTTGGGAACTGAACGGTTCCCTCTCACCCTGGCGCCCGGATTCCCTTCGAGGGACCAACGCCAGCCAGGCAGAGCCTGGTGCAGATGCTCTGAGCTGAGCAATGCAGGAGTCAGCCTGGCCCCTTCTGGCCTGGAAATGCCTGGAAAGAACGCACGGCCGGCCGGGCCCGCGGGGGTCTGCCATCCTGCCAGGAACGGCAAATCAACCGGGCCTGGCCGGGCCCCCAACCCAACCCCAGTGCCGTCAGGTGGAGTTAACCCGGCAGAGGCCGCAGGCAGGTGGGGAGCTGTGCTGATCTGTCCCTCGCCCGCCCGCGCTCACACACACGTCCCCAGGCGCTCGTCTGCCTGGCGGCCTGGAAAACGCCAGCGTGCCGGGCTACTGCAATGGGCGGCGGAGGAAACAGTCGGGGAGAGGGGCGGACAGCTACAGCTGGGGATGGATGGACAGAGGGGGACGCACAGACCGACTGCCAGCGGGGTAGATACAGAGACGCACAGGTGGGACCCAGCCCGGCCCCACGCTCTCCCTATGCCACCGGTTTTGTTTTAGCCGCAACCTCCAGCCCGACCGGGAAAGCAACTCCCCCCCCCCCCCGCAAGGGGCTGGAGGAATAAATGAAAGCCTGGACAAGGCTGGGAAGCGAGCTGGCTCCTGGCCAGGCCGCCCGGGTTCACCAGCGGCTGGGGGGGGTCCACGCTCAGCTCACGGCAAGGAGCGTCTCTGCCCTGCCGTTCACCTTCAGCAGCCATGGTGCGGGAGAGGCCGGCTGCCCAGACAGATGCTGCTCGGGGCAGGGATGCAGACGCAGGGGGATCACAGAGTCTCCTCGTCCCATGGGCACCGACCAGGGCCACAAGGCAAATCATCAATCACCGCCCCTGCCTGGGTCCGGCCAGGGCAGCCACCTGGCTGGGCCCGGAGAGCCGGCGCGACGCTCGGGGCAAACACCAGCCCGGCAGAAATACAAACCTGCCCCCCAGCCGCCCGCCCCATGGGGAGAAGGGGAAACGCCGGGTCACAGACACAGAGCGGCTCTGGGCTCTCCTGGCTGTGGGCAAAGCGGCCCCGTGGCCCGGGCTGGCGACAAGCGGCCCCCCCTTGGCACACACCCCATCTCCGGCTGGCGACCCCGACAGGCCGTGGGCACCCACAGCCAGCGCTCGGCTGGCACCCTGGGGCGATGCCCTCCACACCGCCCACCGCGAGGGGGGGCTCCCCCCATCCCCCGCCACCTGCCAGCCCCAGCAAGCCTCAGCCCCCCTGCAGCGCCAGCCCCCCGCGCAGCCCCCGCCCGCGCCGCAGGACTCACCCGGCGCCGGCTCCCGCAGCGGCCAGGCCCGGTGCGCGCTGCAGAGCGCCCGGCCAGGCAGCCCCGCCGTCACCGCCGCCCCGCGCCCGGCCAATCCCGCGCGGCGCCGCAGCCTCCCTCCCTCCCCGCCGGGGCGGGCAGCGAGCCGGGGCCGCGGCCGGGCCGGGGCCGGGATGCTCGGGCGCGGAGCTGGGGCGCGCCGGGGGCAGAGGGGCGGGAAAGGGGCGGGGCGGGGACGGGGTGCAGCCTGCAGGATGCCTGGGTCCTATTCCTGCCACACGCCGCAGGCAGCCCCCTCCCCTCCTCCGCTGGGGGGTGACTGACTGAGTGAGCTCTGCCAAGCGGGGGCTGGCTCTGGGGGGCTGGGCAGTGCCCAGCCCGATGGGGCCCCAATCTCAGCTGGGGTCTGGGCAGCGCCCGGCGCGATGGGGCCCCAATCTCGGCCGGGGTCTGGGCAGCGCCCGGCGCGACGGGGCCCTGATCTCGGCCGGGGTCTGGGCAGCGCCCGGTGCGACGGGGCCCTGATCTCGG